CCCCAAAACCCCAAAACCCCAAAACCCCATTTTCAATTGAATAATGGTACCAAAAATAATTAAAGAAATTTCAAAAGCTAATAATAAATCTCTCTTGAATTGCTTTATATTAATATTTTATGATGGTCATTGATGATTATAATTTTGATCTTTCATTGCATTTTCCAAATTCTTATCCTTAATGCTAAGGGAATCCTCATAGTCACAATCATCATCTTCTCTGAATTAATCTCTATCAATATAGTCGTTGATATGCTGATAGTGATTTTGTTCAAAGCTAAGAGCATAATCTTACCCATAAACCTCATTCAGCTTTTTATTTTAATCCTTCAGCTCACTCTCTTTCTTCTGTCTTTAGTTTTCAATTTTCCTTTTTTCTAGTTTTAACTACGATTTCTACTCTTAAAGCTTCTCTATCACTTCATTTTTCTATTGCATGTCACTTTCCATCTCCTCTAATTTTTATCTATATTCATCGTACTCCTATTTGAATTGAGATAATAATTCTTCTTTTTCAGTAAGCTTTTCTCTCTTTTCAGATTCCTTTTCGGATATCTCTTTTAGTTTTTATTCTAATTACTTTTTATACTTTTCCATTTAGAGGTTAGCTTGTTTAATTTGAATCTCTCTCTTATTGATGTTCCGCTTAATTTCATTCAAAGTAGTTTATTGCTGCCTTAAGCAGTTATCATACATTGATTCAAAGTTATTATTGCTCATGAGTGTATCACAAACATCACAGACTCTAAATTTTTTCTTGTCAACCTTGCTTAATCTTCTCTTTTATTGAGAGCACAGATTGCATACGCTTGTTCCACATTTGCGGCAATGGTGTCTTTTCTATGTTGATGTGCCAGCTAATGTTATTCTGCTCAAAGGTTTTTCACACAAGCCACAGTTGTCAGATTACACCTTCTTTATTTTTTTAATGTCAAACATGTCAGGTAAATTATCCTCCTCATTATCGAGAAAAGTTGCTATGAATTCCATATCCTTCAGAGCTTCCTCATCCCATCTATTATTATTGTCAGAGTTTCCACTCTAATTGTCGTCATCTTGGTTGTCTTAATCGCTATCTTCCCCCTCTTGATTCTGATACTAGTATTACTGCTCTTCTTGAGAAGTTTAAGCCTGGGATCTCATTATTATCCTTATTATATTTCTAATTATATTAGCTTTCTACTATCTTCCAATTTATCCAATCTAAGGGGTTTTGGGGTTTTGGGGG